TTTTTGTGCACGGCATTCTTGTTTCAAAGTTATTCGTCGACAGTATCATTCTGTAGAGGTTGCTTCAACTTAGAAATATGGTTTGAAGCGAGTCACCAATCGCACCGCGTTGCTATAGTAGGATTACGGCAATAATTCCAGCACACAGAACCATTGCGATATAGGTCGTTCGATAAAAAAAATTCCAAAAAAATCTAGCGAAAAGCGTTTCAGCGTATGTACGTATGCTGATCTCTTTGCACAACATTTTACAAGTTTGCAGAGCTTTTGTAGTGGTGTAATCTCGAAAAAAGAACATTCTAAAGAATGTTTATTTTTATTTTTTTATTTTTTTTTCTATTTTATACTTCTTATCAGTGCTTATTTTAGAAGAAGCGTACTATATAACGCAAAATTTGAAAAGAGAGAAAAATTGCAAAGTCAATAAATAGCACTGATAGGAAGTATAAAAATTTGTAGTCTGTCGTGACTTGAAGTTTTAAAGTGACGCTATACAACATTCAGATCAACTATTCTGTTCTGTTGACTCAAAAATGGTTATACTATTTGAACAGTATTAGGAAGCCTCACAGTATTTCTCCCAGATTTAGCGATGCCCATTAATCATATCAAAAACTTTTATCTGAATTCTCGAAGTGACTAGAAATTCCCATTAAAGCTATTGCCATAAGTTGCCAGCGTCAGCCCATACTTAAAGTGGTCGTTAATCTCTGTCGTGAAAGTTCAGATTAGGAGCTGATTTTCGAAACGGAGCTGGGGTAGGAAGTACATCTCAAATTTTTAACTCTTATGGAGAAACACATTTGAGAGTGTCAGACGTTTGCGAAGACTTTTCGGAAAAAATCAAAAAAGAACCTTCCGAAAAAATTTTTGGCTTCTCAGATTTTTTGCTAGAACCTTGAGATTTTGAAAGAAAGAGATGGCAGTAATCAAGTCAAACAATAAATATTTTATACATATATATCACAATAATATTTCGCTTCATGCCTAATCAAGTCAATTTTTTTAGTAAGCTACCATAGCTTTGAAACTAGAAATTTCCGATCACCATGGAAAAGGAAATCGCTTGCACAGTTTCATAACGCATGTATACTATTAGGTTGTAACAGAATTAATGCAGGTTTTGAATTCCAACCGCAATAACTTATACACTTCTCATTTCTAAGTAGGGTGCAAAACACCATTCGATAGAGCAAAGCAACCTCTACGAGGCGGCAATCCTGCTTTAGCAACAACTCTGATCCATCACGAGTTTCGAGCCAAAAACTAAAAAGATTCAACTGTCCGAAAAATTGAGAAAAAATCGTAACTCGGTTCCTAAAAAACCTACAAAAATTCTAACTTGTTCACGTAAACACTATTCACATAAGACATCTATATACCCCTTTGCCGTATTTTTTTCTCTGTTAGAAATCAAGAAAACGGAATTTTTCGTGCGTTTGCCAAAGTGATGCTGTGCCCTTTCTACATAGATAGCTGTATACTACAGACCTATAGAAGTACTGACGCAAATTTTCAGCTCTCTATAGGCTTTAGTTCTCGAGTTATATCGAATATAATTTTCCCTAGTCAGATGGTCCAAGCTAAAATTCAAATTTCTCGAGAACTAAAGCTTGTAGAGAGCTGAAAATTTACGTTTGTACTTCTACAGATTTGTAGTATGTGGGAACTACTTATGTGGGAACGGCACAGCAACACTTTGGCAAATGCACGAAAATTTCCGTTTACTTGATTTCTAACAGAGAAGAAAATACGGCAAAGGGGTATATAGATGTCTTATGTGAATAGTGTTTACGTGAGCAAGTTAGAATTTTTGTAGGTTTTTTAGGAACCGAGTTACAATTTTTCTCAATTTTTCGGACAGTTGAATCTTTTTAATTTTGGCTCGAAACTCGTGGTGGATCAGAGTTGTTGCTAAAGCAAGATTGCCACCTTGTAGAGATTGCTTTGCTCTATCGAATGGTATTTTGCAGCCTACTTAGAAATGAGAAGTGTATGAGTTATTGCGGTTGGAATTCAAAACCTGCATTAATTTTGTTACAACCTAATACTTCCAAAAATTTCAGGCCGTCTTCGCTCCTCCTTCTTCGCTACTGGTTTTAAATTAGATTTTTTGATCTATGCGTGACATGTGCCTGATACTTCTTTGCTTATTCACCCAAGCGTATAGTCCACTTCGGTAGATCCAACTCGACCTTTGAGTTTCAGCAGAGAGGAAACGAAGAGATGATGTTACGCCATAGTGAACTTGGGTATAGAGCAGATTCATGTGGAAGTTTTGAAAAACTTGTGTGAACTGGAAGCTTGGCCAACCTCGCAGTGGCATTAGATGGGCATGCGCCCTCCTGATTTGGAAAAGTTGGGTACGCTTTTTATTTACATAAGTTTTTCATAATTTTTCACACTTTGTTCTAGCTCCTTACTGCGCATATGCACACCAGCTCTAGCCAAAAAGGCCTTTCTTACTTTTCACTTACGGAAGATTTCCGAAAAGAAGCTTCCCACAGCATCCAGTTTTTTGCAATACTCTACACTATGCTTCTATTAGCCCTTGTTCATTTATACACCAAACTTGGAGACACATCATTGCATGAGCTCCGCAAAAGAGGTAGTTGATTAATACACAATGGAAGGAAATTAGGTTCATAGATGATGAGAATCGTGTTTTTGCACGTCCCGTATAGCAACTTGTTGAAGAGTACGTAGTGCATATGGAGGCATAATGACAATATAGTGTCTGTTTTTTTCCCAATAAAAAATCTCAGCTTAACCGCCACCCTCGTGCCTGGTCCTACTCCCTTTTTTGGCCGTCGAATGTCATGCAGACATTTTGTGCTATGTATTTTGTGTCTTTTACAACTGTAGTCTGGCGTGCATGCCATTTTTACTGCATATTTCAATATTTACAGCAAATACATGATAATGGTAGAAGTGACAATCAGCCAATTAGCAGTTGTAAGTCGCCATATAAACACTGTCTCAAATTTTTCTTGATTGGTACTTTGCGCTTGATCTTTTTGCAAAATTTCATCTTCTTTCTTCGTTTCATCAGTCGGTTTTTTTAAGATCAAAGGAGTTGTTTTGTGGAAGATTAATGATCTCAAATAAAGGTCCAGGCAGGTCTGAAGCGCTTTTCAGTCGACTTGCTTTCTGGGATATTTTCTGAGACTAGTTTAGAATTGCTTAACAGGGACTAAAAAGAAGTTCGCTACTTCTTGTCTTTCATTTCACTATGCCTTTTGTTCATCAGATATTAGGTTGTAAATAAAGTTCCCGGGCACTTGCGGAATTATTCTTCAAACTGCTGTAACTTCAAGAAGCTATAACCGATCCTTTTTGAGGCTGCAAACTTTGTTGCTTTGGTAGTTCAGTGGCCAGAGACTAACTCAGATACATCCACATTCCACGAGTTGACGAGCAAGTTTTATTGGCGATTTCCTCAAACTTGAGTTTTAAACCCAATCGAGACATTTGTAAAAATGCATAACACACGATATGAATGGACATACATTTACTAGATTTCTTGATCTGCTTCACTAAAAACGGGTGTCAAACGTGTCAAGTTTCAAACGTTGTGAGTGAAATGGCGCTGGTTTTGCTTGAAGCGTTTTTGGATGATATGTATTTGATTGGCAAAGTTCTTGAAATTGCACGCTGTGAAAACAGATAAAGGAGCAAGTTGAGTTTCATTCTTTTAGATCATGGTTTGAAGCGTGAAAACGTATACGTTTTTCTGAACGACGAACGAGAAGGCGCATTGAGCTTCGTTTTTCTAGGTCGCATCAGTTTTGAAGCAAGAAGGAGATGAAGTAACGCCATGTCTGGCTGACTGTGGTTTCTTGAGTAAGCAAATACATGACCTTACTTTCATTTCATTTCTTTCATTCATACGCTCAAGGCGTTGCGAAACAAAGACAACCAACTGTTAATGTACTGTCGACTTAAAATTCTGCCTGTTAGTGAAGGAATATCTCTGGCACGAAGAGAGCTGAAGAGCTCATATTTGGTAGTTTTGTAGAACTCTGCTGGAATTGTTTGAAGAGTGTATCACAATTTTAGAGCACAACCTGCAATAAAATTTCTTCGAAAAAATTAAAAAATTGTCCATTTTTGCACCCAAAAATATCCCATTTTTTGAGTAAATGAGTTTAAAGTCTCCTTTTTCTCCATGGAAACAACCAGATCTTTGGTTGCTGCAAATATTGTTGGGGTAAAGTCTTGCACATCTTTTGGGCCCATCGCCGAGGCGTGACGTTTCTCAAAATCGACTCCAATTGAGAAAATAAGTGCGGTCGAAGGCAAGTTTGAGAGTTTGTAATTCTTTATTTTTTTGCGTGCGTACGCGTACTGTAAGATCCAAGCACAGCTGCGATTTTAAAATAGACAGCCTCCTTATCCAGAATGACCAACTCTCAAATGGTTCTCTTGGTTCACTGCGAAAAAATGGCGGAAAAGAGAAAAATTGTGAAATTTTCAACGTTGCACAGACTTCCTATTTTGGTGTGTACGACGAATACGGTTGAACATCGATAAAAACGAGATGCGGCTCTGGTAAGCTTAGGCTTTCTTCTGCAGATCTATGTTACTTGTTATTAAGATTACCGGGTGCGGAAAAGAATGAGCTGAAAATGAAATCACTAAAACTGTCCGGGAACTTTCTTTACAACCTAATAGTAAGACGCATTAATCTAAAAATTGACAAATTGATATTCTTAAAGGAGAAGAACACAAATCCTATTTAGCAGTGCGCTCACCCTGAACTATAATTTCGAATAATGTTAATATCCTTTGACTCATCCTCAATCTCTTGGCTCTAAATGCAGCCAAAATCCAATAAACTTGACGACTAGTTGTAAGAGTACTTTGCTCTAAGTTGCTTTTCCTTTGCTCGTTTGAGCACGTACATCGTAAAATAAGAAAAATCGAAAAACATCACAAATTCTTCGCAGCTACGCTACTCACTTGTTATTTGCAGTTTTTACCTTGTCATGGCTTTCATGTTTTCCATTTTGTTGCTTTTATCGCATCTTTTGCTAGCTAGTAATAGCTACAAATTCCTCGTCTACTCCCCATTCCTTGGCCATTCGCACACAAAGTTTTTGAGTGCTATAGCGGATACGCTCACGGAAGCTGGCCATAATGTGGTGAGTCTGATGAGCCTTTCAAGTTATATTTAGCCCTAAAAATAAATGTTTCCTCTTGCCTTAGATTTTCATATGTAGATCTAAAAGAAGCTTAAAGGCAGTGTCCAGGCTAAACCTAACCCCTACAAGAAGCTTAAAGGCAGTGTCCAGGCTAAACCTAACCCCCTCCGATTAGTGTCGATCCTGAATGTAGGCTCTAGAAAAGGGGCATCTGCGCTTTTCCGGTCTTCTAATATTGTCTCTGAATGGAGATAAGGGGCCTGGAAGTTCCTGGTTGGGCGGAGTCTGATATCAGACTCCGCCCAGTCAGGACTGCCCCCTGACACGTATTGACACTCCTGACAGGTATTCACTTGATAGTGAGCAGAAGCTGTACACTGTTGCAACTGCACCCATGGAGTTGCAGCTCCCTCCCGCTGGCCTGCCGACAGGGAAGAGCGATCTGAAACTCGTCCGCGCCCTTAAGACAGGGTCCCCAGGAATCGGGCTTTTTGTGCATTTTGGAGAGTTTAAAGTTCGGAACTGTAATCAGGGTCACGGAAAGGCCCCAAAATGGCGAAAACATGGGGGGGGGGGCCAAATTCTGGGTGGACGCTGCCTCTAAATGCTTAAAGCTAAGTGCTCCAGACAATGCTAATGCCGGTCATGGACACTGAAGAAGAACACAGAACGGGTGTAAAGATTACAAAAAATATTATCAATGTTCCCGCTCATCCTCGTGTAGCTGAATACTACAAGCATAGGAAGGAGACTTTTGGTAATGCATGGACAATGCAACCTAGCTTGTGGGGGTCGTCTAAGGTTTGAAAGTTTATACTCCTTCTAGCTCACAAACTGCAGTTCCTCTGCTCTTACAGGTTTTCCAGCACATTATTGACGCATACAGTTGTCAGTGTGAAAGTGAGTTTCAATGCGCCCTTCGCCAACAGTGCAAAACTATTCAAATAAGCAGAAAGCTTAGGTATTTCGCATTCGAATATAAGGCGGATTCAAAGTCGACCTTACGCAAGTTCAAAGCAGTTTTGGTCAAAAGTTACCCCAAAAACCTCGAGGTACTGGAAAAAATATTCTAGCACATTCACGAAAATGTGACCCAGCTGTGGATCGTATTGTCGCGAAGATTCTTAAATAGACATTGTTAGTCTGCGATGAATCTACGTGAAATACGCACGCGCATGTTTGGAACATGTAGGTGGAACTATAATCAGAAAATCAACTTTCGGGCCACACGAGCCATTCCTTATAATAATAGAAAATTCTATGGAATGCAGAGATAAAGATAATGTCATACTCTAAAACCGTCTACGCTCATGCGCTAAATGCCCATTGAATACGTTTCAATTTTCACAGTGACTTGCGCGGTCAGCCGGTACTTGTAAGGGATGTCACGTGACTTAGTGACGTTTCAAGATGAGACACATATATTCGGAATCAGCTTCAAACGCTAATTTCAATTATGCTGTTCTTTCTAGCTGCGGCGAATTGTTCTGAAGGAAGTTATAAGTTTTTTTCTGTGCGAAATTGTCATACTTTTCCATATGGTAGGGCTGTCTGTAGATAGAAATTTGCCTAAAAACGATGCTGGGATACTAGAATTATATCAGATTGAGTATTTTGTAATTGGCAAGAGACTTTATGCATTCAATTAGCTTAACACGTTTCGGGCCGGTGCTACACATGGTGCAGCACGCGCCTTACAAGGATCTTTTCAATGTTTGCAGGAGGTTTTCTTTTTATCCAAGGTTATCAAATCAATGGGCTAAGCTCCTCCTTTTCAAATGACCTTGTAGAGCTGTGCCGGCGGTATTTGTTTAGAAGATATGAGGACAAATCGAACAACAGTTGTAATGAAGTGCGGCAACGCGAACGACGCGTGCGACGTCGCAACTTTTCTTTGCTCCTATTTCAAAGAGAAAAACCGTGGTTTCAGTAATGATGTGTACTGTATACAACATAGATGCTTTCGGATAGAATTAAAAACTGAGTTCTTGTTCCTATCTTTCAGGAAAGCACACAATCCTTCTCAGGCGACAAAATTCAAACACTTCGAATTCACTCAGAACTTTGGGTATGGATATGATCTGACATGCTGATTACAGATATAGCACACAGTCTAAGAATTAAGGCCTTTTGTTGGCTAACGGCTGAAAGTACCCTTTTTTTCGCCGCGCGCGACTTCGCGGTCCGAAACGTGTTAAGTGATGATACCGTAATGCCAGTAAGTCAAAGAGTATGCAAATTTTGCACAGAAGAAAGTCGATAATTCGCTTTAGAATGACGTGCCGCAGCTACGAACAGCGTAATTGGAATCAGCGCCCGAAGCTGATTCCCAATATATGTGTCTCATCTTGAAACGCGATACTAAGCCAAGTGACATCCCATGTTAGCGCTTCATACACGGATTGTTTCAGCACCAATCCATTGTCCCTGAATAATAAAAGATGTCATGATCAATCGTTGAAGTTTCTCGGATTTTGGCACTTAGATCATCGCACTCAGAAGATCTTTGCTTGATTTACTCCTCTCGGACATGATGAAATACGTGCTTGTTATACTTGCACAAGAAACTTATCTACCACTAGACATCATAAAACTGTTGCTATTGTTCTTTTCAACAAACAGAAGTTATCGAGAATGATAATCTACTGCAACGGCTTAAAGCAGAGAAATTTGACGTCGGTATTGCGGAGCCAGCCAGCATATGTGGCTTAGGTACACACTTCTCTTCAAGCTCCTTTGAGGCACTTAATTTTGTTCCCAGGCATTTTCGAGGTTGCGAATATTCCTGCATCCATAGCAGCATGATCCTTAGCTCATTCGGAAGTGCTTTCCATAATTGGAGAGCCAAATATTTTAAGTTATGTGCCTGGTAAATTTTCCGAGATTTTATTCGTTAATGTATCCTTACAAGAAGTTCAGTGCCATTCAGGAGGCTTTACTGGATCAGGGGACCGCATGTCAATGAAAGAAAGACTTCTCAATTTCGTGGACTTCATTCATACCCAAATATTATTCAAAAGGCAAGTAATTTCCATGTGTTCTCTTCTTTGAACCTGGGCATTTTCGTTTTGATCGTTGTGTAGGATTTTCTTATGCCGAAACCAGGTTAATTGGTGGAACTTCTTTATTGACTCAACGTTTCGAACAATTCGTCTTCGTCAGGAGTCTGAAAAGGATCGTAGGTACTCGTACTTTCACTATACCGCCAAACGTCTCGTCAAACGCTGCTCGTTAGACCTTCCCTGGTGCAATGTACTGAAAAGCTAAACGAGAGTGCCAACCTCAGTCCACCATAAGACCAGTAGCCCGCACAACTGTGACGGACGCAACTGAGTTTATACTCAGTGTGTCAAGTTATATATATCATGTGCGGATGTGAGCTTGCATAATGATAGCAGGGGCAAGAGATCACTCGTAATGGCAATACATTCATTTTTACTATTCATAGCAGGATTCTTGGAGGATATCCATGCTGCTTCAAGCGTTTTTCGTGCGCAAATCTCACTCTCAAGAGCTAGTGTAGTACATTTTACGTCGAATAAGGTGCCATCGTGTGCTTCAAATCTATGTTTACCTAAAGGTGATGCTGTAGTTCCTCGCTTCATGCTAGCCAAATGTTCTTCAATCCTAGTGCTCAAAGGTCTACCCGTTTCGCCTATGTATAATGCTCCGCAATTTAAACATTCTAATTGGTATATAACTCCCGTTTTTGCGCAATCCCCTGCTTTTCCGTAAGGGCAAACAATGCAGTCCTTTGATATACATTGTATATTGTAGCATCTGTTTCTAACCAACCGCTTTTCAATGTTGTCACTGGGTATGTCAACTAATCTGACATCGTTTTGCAGTTGAGCTCGAAGAATGCACTGTTTAATTGCCCTGCTGACTTTATCGCAAATGAAGGGTATGCATAGCGGAAGTTTGGTGTCATTAAGCTGCCCATTACCACTTTGACTTTTGTTAGATTTTCTTAATCGTGATCGTGTGGCTGTGTTGTAACCATTGCTGAGGGCAATTTTCGCGGCCAATTCTCGTGATTCGAGTCGCTCGTTCTCGCCCGTGCATACTCCTACAGCAGTTCTATACATGTTGCGTATTATGGCATGTTTGAGTGCTGTGGGGTGAGCTGACGTAGCGTGTATTAGAATATTCTTTGAGCTTTCCTTTCGATACCATTTAACTTGAATGGTATTGTCAGATAAGTGTATCTGGGTGTTCAGATAGGAAAGCCAACCACCGCGAGGGGCTTCTCGTGTAAGCTTAATGTACCGCGATTGCTGGTTTAGGATATTAAAACATTCGTCCATTTCGGACTGTGTTGAAGTTATGACACAGCAATCATCGATGTACCGGCAGTACATTAGTGGTAGGCGTGCTATTACTGGTTCCTCAATCTTGCTCATGAAGCATACTGCGAGGATTGGAGCAAGTCTCTGGCCCATCGCAAGTCCTCTCACCTGGGAATAGTAATTCCCAGCCCATTTAAAAATGTTACAATTCAAACACTCTTTAATGAGGACCAGTAAGCACGCCTTGCTCAATCCAAAGGTTATCATGCTGGAATAATGCGTATCTAGCATCTCCGACAGTGCCTGCATGGCGGCATCAACGTGAACGTTAGTGTATAAGGATGTCACGTCAAACGATTCTATAACACTGTTTGGTTCACATTTTATCTGCCGCAAGCGCTCGACAAACTGGCGTGTATTTGAGAGATGCGAGGGAACCTTTGGGAGCAATTGGCTTACAATCTTATTCAAAAACCATGAAATTCGGTCGGTGGGACCGCCTACGCAGCTTATTATGGGGCGGATTTTATACGTCTCAGGCGACATAGAGCGGAGCTCGTCAGCTGCTAGTTTGTGCGTTTTTACCAAGTGATAGAAAACGGGACAGTTTGGACTGTTGATTTTCAACCTTCTCACTAACTTGTCGTCAAGCCCTACAAATTTTCCGGTGTCAGTCCAAACCTCATGCAATTTTCTATATTGCGCTTGGAATTCTTTCTCAGTAGCAGGACGGTATATTGACGTATCTGACAAGTGCAACTGTGCAATTTTTCTATCTAATCCTTGAGGTATCACTACCAGCTCTCCTCCTTTGTCACTTGTCGACATCCGGATAGTTCCTGCACTCACTAATTCACGCACCTCTTTGTAGCCTTCTCGTTGTTCCCGCGTCAAGTTTGTCATATGGACCCCCTTGAACCTGTTCAAAACATGCAGGATTTCACTAGCTAGAATGCGGAATTTTGTGTCAGCGGTGAGCACTGGTTCGGGTTCCTTGTAATACAAGCGCGGAAACGGTATTGGTGTTAGCATCGACCTCTCAGTAGTTTGTAAAACTTGCACATCTTCTTGCTGAGCTTTAATCCTTAGCGAATCGCGTAATCTGTGCAAGCTACCAAGTACTTTACAACAAAATGAAGCATTTATATTTTGAGATGGCGAATACGACGGACCAAGACTGAGAAAATTAGTTGCGCGTTCGGTCAAATGAATGTCGCCAATGATAGTGACTCTTGTGTGACTTTCATTATGAGCTAAATAGTTAGTAGGGTGGTGGGTGTGAAGAAGGCAAACCTCTTTGTTTTCATGCTTTTCACGTAATGCGTCCCGGAGTTGGTCGTACTTCTTGCAAAGTCGTGATTTGACATTAGACCGTATAGTGCCACAAATCAACTTCGATCCGTCTTCGATCCTCCTCCAAATGTCATCTTGCAAAAGTCGTTTACAATTACTTTCTTTACAATTACATTTCAATAACGTGGAATACAAGATTTTCTTCTTTCGCTCAATAACAAGATTCAACATGTTATTATAAATGTTGATTATCTTCTTGTTATTCTCTGGCAATCCGCAGATAGTTCCGATCTTCT